ACATTTCTCGCCGCGGGATGGATGGCCGCAAGGGGCGACTTCTGCGGTGTTTTTGCTGTGCGGCGGCCTCAACATCGATTCCACAGCAAGAAGATAGCAGACCGTCTACACACCGTATCGCGCACTAGCTACTTTCTGAAACCGAGAAGCATGGGGGGAGGTCTTCTGGACGAGCTGCGTCTGTTGGCGGACCATGGCGGGGAACGCTGGGCCGAGAGAGCGCCACGCGCGGGTGAGAGATTCGCGGCGGCAGAAGTCGCGACGCGGGCACGTGACGGTGATGGCGGGGGCCCAAAAAGGGAAGGTCCAGGGCGGGCGCTTGGGTGATGCCAACGACCTGATCCCGCGCCTCCACCTCGTCTCGCCCGACACTCTGCCGCTCCTTTGCCCTCTTTCCTTCCCTCTTTTTTTGGAGTGTCTCGCAGCTGCGACAGCCACGCGCGCCCCCGCCGCCTGCTACGCCAAGTGTACAGAAGGGCAGGGCCTACTTCGTGCTGTCTTTTCTGTCCTTTTCCTACCCGACCCGCCCTCGCCCTAGCCTCGCCCCGCCCACACCATGAGCTCCCGCCAGTCGAAGGTATCCACGTCCGAGCTCAAGCTCCGGAGGCTCCTCGAACACAACCAGCGGTTGAGGGAGGACCTCGCGAGACCCCGCATACGTGTTAGCGAAGCCAGTGTGAGGTACGTGGCTCGGCTACAGCGGGTGAAAACTGAGGTGACGCATACTTGGTGTTTGTAGCTTGATCAACTATTGCAAGAACACACAGGACTACCTCGTAAGTATGATCTTCAGGGTACCTCGCGTCATGTTAAATACCCGTGCGGGTCTTGTGCGGCTTGACGTGTCTTGCTGTGTTGCACTGGCGGTCCGCAGGTGGAATGCTATGAGAACAGACAGCATTTGCCAGCGCCAGCGCTGGTGGGCATTGAATTACCGATGGGCGCACCTCAATTGGATTCATGTTGTGATCCGTCATCGATAGTATTCACCTCAGCTGCCGCGGAACATGTCTTGTTCGTGCCGTCATGATGAGCACTGCGTCGAAGAGCTGATGCCTTGTTATCCGTGGCCGTGGTCATAATGCTAATCATCCTGAACTGAACAGGTACCATCAGTATGGGGAACCGTTAGCAAAGCGGAGGATCCGTTTGGTGCACCACAACCATCGAATGGCTGCGGATGCGTCGTCATGTAGTCACCTTCGTGGTGAGTTCTGTCGCTGTCTAAATGGTCCGCAATGCAGCAGGCCTGATATGTTGTGCGTAGAAAATCGCTGCATGCAGCAGCAGCCTCACCCCTACCTCCGCTTGCGCCCGCGCTACGAGCCGCCTCTCAAATATGCGCACCCTGCTCTCCGCCGCCTCGCGACCCTACACTTCTGACGCGCCGCCCCGTCGTATGTCGTGTCACCCCGGACAGTCACATCCTCAGCATCCGCATTCAGCTTACACTTTGGCATTTCGCATTAGTACATATGGATAACCCTATGCATCCTACTTGGTCTTCGCCGTCTTAGCTCGTCGTTACTGCTTTGCATTAGTACACGGATCGCGTCCTTCATTCACATGTATACCTACGCCGAGTTTCCCGCCTCCCCTAATGCACTTCGTTAGCACGGTGGGTGATGGACTGCGACGAGTGTTCTTGGGCGACCGGGGCAGGTGCGTCGTCCGACCGCCCGGTCGTGTCACGCGTGTGGGTCTGGGAGGGATCAGACGGGCAGACGCTGGTGCCATATCAGGAGGCAAGCGCCGACCTGTGCAGCCCTGAGAGAAATCAAGCCTCTCCTTCTCCTCCGACCGTATCGTCGCCCTCTTCCCCCGCCAGCCCCCCTTTGTTGTATTTATCCCTTCTACGCGTTCCCGCCCTCTCGTCGGCGCACGCACTCGTCTGTCGGTCCACCCCGCGCGGCACGCTCGCTCGACCTGACTGGCCCAGCACTGTCTGGACCCCAACTGTGACTGCCGGTGAGCAGGGCAAGGCACGCCGCGCACGACCATATATCTGACCTCTTACGCGGCCGTCGCCTCGCCCTCGACCCCCTGTGTCCCAGAGTGTCGTACGACGACCACCAGCCCATTCAAACGACCACCCACTCCCTCCCATCACTCGCCCTCCGTCACTCGCCCCCACCCTTCAATCAAAGATGAACGGCCGACCGCACAAGCAGTCAATGTCGGAGCTCAAGCTTCGGCGGCTCACAGAGCATAACCAACGGCTGAGGGAGGATTTGGCGAGGCCAAGGATAAGGGTCAGCGAAGCTAGCGCAAGGTGCGTACATGCCGTCGCGTACACTCCCAGCGAGTGCTCACTCCTCTGCCTGCACGACAGCCTGATCCGCTATTGCAAAACAACGAAAGACCCTCTTGTGCGTAGCTCCGCCCCTCTTTGTCCCCAGTTCATATCCTCGGGCGCCCATGCATACATCGACACCGCTCGTTGCTTCGCGCCGGCTGTCGTGCTGACTCACGTTCATCCCGCAGGTACCATCTGTATGGGGCCCAGTAGCAAAGAACGAGGACCCGTACGCACAGCAAGGCGGAGGCGGAAAGGGATGCTGCGTCGTCCAGTGATACACATCCGCATCCCCACATCGCCTTCTCTGCTCTTTCTCTGTTCATACATTTATACCATCGCTCTTTTTATCCCCTCCATCAGTTCTCGGATTCCGCTCAATTTTCTTACTTGTCCCCGTATCCTTATGCATCGCGGGCGGAGATGCGCTCCCGCAGGTTCTGGTCTTGGCTGGATGGCTGTCGCCGTGGTTCTGTCTTGATGATGCTCGTACAATATCGACTCTCCTTCCCTTTCGCCGCCGGATGAGCGTCCAGTACAATAATGTAGTATACGTGGTCCTGCTCGCTTTGCCTTAGAACAATGCCCAACAACGCCGTCCGCTCGCTGCTGCCTTCCTCTTCCTCGACGTGCGCGCCCCTGCCTCGAGGTCCACCGCCTGCGCTCTCATGCCCGGTGCGCCGCGCCGTATGGACATGGCGCCTGTCTATATGTCCTGTGGTTCCACCGGGGACGTCGGATGACGTCCGGCATGCAGCTGCATCCTGCTCCTGATCAACGCCCGGTGAGATAACGCATGATGCTGATGCAGGTTGATGCGCGTGTTAGAGGTGCTGGTCTTCATCGTCGTAGCTCTCCTTCACGAGCCTATGTGAATGGTGAAAGTCAGCGACTGCTCATCGGTTAAAATCGATGCATGACTAGCCTGTAGATCGACGAGGGGGGGTGATCGCCACTAGAGCGGAAATAGAGTCCGGATGAGCGATCGGACCAGGACAAGGATGGGGAGACTCACTCGTTCGTAATGAAGACGTCGACGAGCTCCGGCCCGACATAGTCATAGTACGGATTGATGACGTCCACTTTGTCGACGAGCGGTCCTTCCTCGTACCCGAGCACGCTGCTCGGGTCCGCAAAATCGAGCGCCCCGTACTCGTGGTAGAGGTTCCATGCCGGCGTGAGCTTGAATTGACCCGTGCACACGACGACGGGCGTGCTGTGCGCGCGCGCTGCGGTCGCGGCGAGGAGGGTACCTGTGATCGCGAACATGCCGCCGTTGGCGAGGATTGCGTGTGCGCCGATGATTACTTTGTTCACGCGGGACATGATCGCGTAGATGGAGGAGTCGGGGACGAGGAAGGTGGAAATTCCTGCGTTGGAGAGCGAGGTTGCCATCTCGTGGCCGCTGTAGCTGTAGGACGGTGTCATTGAACAATATATGCACTGAGACTCGGTTGAGAACGTACGAAGGACCCGTCTCCGCGACGATGACGGTGTAATTGCGATAGTGCCCCGCGGACTTCAGGAATGCTTCGACCGTCTTGGAATGCCCAATCGTGAGGATGATTTCACTGAGAGCCATTGATCAGTCCCCTCTGCGAACTTCCTTGTGTACAAACGTACTCTGAATGGATATGATCCTTCGCCGTCTTCGAGACGTTGTCGTACACCGTCTCGAGCTCGTCCAGCACGTCCTGGATGGCCTCCATGAGCACCGGCTTCAGGCCCTTCGCGAACGAGTCCGGGTCATCTGGGTCATCCTCCTTTAGCGATATTGTCGCCTCAGACTTCTGTGCGACGATCTGCTTTCTGGGCTGGCCTTGCAGGACGAACTTGGAGATGGAGAACACGTTCCTTGTGGGTGCGGTGGCGGCGCCCTTCGCCGCGGTGTTGTACTCTTCGCGGATGTTGTGCAGCACTTTGCGGACGACGTTGCCGACGGTGTGTTCTGGCGACGAGAGGAATTGGGTAGGATCGTATTGGGCGTAGAGATACATCGCGCGCACCTTTCGGTTGAGCCTCGGCGAGCCGCTTGCCGACCTCACGGAGGAGACTCACAAGCTGGTCGATGTTGGAGAATCGCGCTTTCGCAACGACCTGGCGAAGTACCAGCACGGTCTCGAGCGCTGCCTCCCGAGAGCCCACCACCTGCCTGCAAGGACCGTGACATGAAATAAGCAAGTCGCATACAACCGCGAGGGTCTCCGATCGCTTGCCTTCTGCGCAACTTTGCTGCTAGATTCTCGACCGCGCGGGCAGCGGGTACACTGTGTTCTGACGACATGACTAGAATAGAGAGGTGGGGGGAAAGTCTGAAATGCAGAGAGACGCGGTATGCAAGTGTACTGCTGCCTCCCAATAGGCCCACTAGCGAAGCTTCTCAATGAGGTCGAGTCAATAAGTAAATCAGTTACTTACATAACAGACGCTTGAAACTACCTTAGCGGTCACTACTATATCGGGCCGGGATCTCGGCCACCTTAGCAGTCGGCCGCTTCTCGGAATGATTTCTCTAGCTCCTAGCCCTCAATCTATAGACTTCAAACTGTGTCAGGGAAAAGTACAGATGCATATTCAGCTTCTGAAATATATTTGAAGGTAAAAGACCAAGTGGTTGCAGTGACCGACTACCTAGTGCTGACCGAGATCTAGGCCCGATAGTATGGTAACTTACTATAATAATCTAAGCCGGTTCACGTTGCATGGCCGACTGGCAAAATGGCATCGCGTCTGACTACGATGGGTTGCTTATCTAATCAGCTGCTTACGTAAGCATCAGGAGACTGCAGGTTCGACCCCTGCGTCGGTCAATTAATCTTTTGGGAGAAAGTATCTTCCCAAATAGTTTTGCTAAATATGCATCAGGAAAAAACCCTCCCGTGAATGCGCCATAATGCACTGTTATTCTGCGGAATAGACAGTAATGACGTATGTTCCCGAGTTTTTTGAGAATAGCTTTTGTTAGCTAGTCCCCTCTCTTTCCAGTACGAATGCATAAGTAATATGGTGCATTCCGGAGCATGATCCGCTATTACTGTCTCATTGACTCGTAGTATTTTGCTAGTAGCATATTCCCTCGATGCTATGACAGACTTTACAGTTGATTGACAGCACGAATTGAGATTGAGCAACATTCAATTCATTGGGTGATACACTACGGAGCACAAAGACGCAAGGGTACTATACAGGCAGTACTGGGAATGGTATGTGATTACGTCTCGATTGTTCGAATCTACTCATCGGGTATATCATGCCAGTCCTATAAAGGCAAGGGCTGCGAATGAAGTAGCATGAGCTGTGCATACTAGTGACGAAACTACTAACCGGGTATTAGACGAACTCGCCCACATGCGCATACGACTCGGCGGCAGGCTCACAATCATGCGTAATGTCGATTCATCGACGTGTTCGGTGTGCGCGATGCTGAGAACACGTGAGGTAGCTTGTATCTGGTCGTGGCTTCGAACATCGCTGACACAGGCCTGCTACAGAGCTTCCTCTACTATCGGCTGCGTCATCCACGCAAGGAACATCCGGATTGCCAGGCCTCTCGAGGACGCGGAGGGCGGCTGCGTGGAGCGTTGCGCACCAACAAGCAGGCAGGTTCGCAGCCAGGCGGGCCATCATCGTTGCAATGGTTGGGCGACGAGAGCGAGCGTCCGTGCGAGTGGAGCATCGCACACGTGGCAGTACTAGTAGAGCCATTTGGCAGACGCGGCGAGAAGGATGGAGAGGAGGAAGATGTGAGCAGTGTGTCGGTCCGACTCGGGCCAGCTCTGGACTGTAGGCACTCACTCCGTGAACGGATCAGATGCGTACATCGTAGGCGAGCGAGACAGGCAAGATGACAGTACCTTGCCCACACAAGTTGGTACACGACAGTAGAGCCCCTGTATGCCAGCATGCAAGATTCACGTATACATGTCAGCAGGATTAAGACGGACAAAATGTTCTACGCACAACTTGTTGGACTGGAGCCCCATGTGGAGTCTACGCAGCAGCTAGCTGAGAGCGAGCGAGGTAAGGGCACGAGCGGCGATTCGTAGCACATCTGTGGTGCTCAACTGGGAGTGGTAGGAGGCCGTTCTGCATGGCAACAGCAGCTATGGGGTGGCATTTACTTGATGGAGGTTGGAGCGGCAGCGTGCGAGTAACGTGAATGTGGGCGGGTAGTTGACTCGACAGTTGACAGAACGTTGAGTACTGAGTACTGAGCAAGTGGACGCTCGAGAGTCGACGTGGCGTTGTAGCGACGTGGTCGATCAAGATCAAGTTTAGGGCAGGTCGTAATCTGACTCTGCGTAGTGGCGCCGTGTCTCTTGTCTCTGCTAGTCTCTTCCTCGCGATCCTCAACGCCCGATGTAGTACTACGCAACAAGCCCGCTGACTTAACAGTAGACGGATGCGCGGGAGGATACGTGGCTCAGGAGCCTCGCGAAAGGATGAGCACATGGTACGTACCTGCTGTCCATTTCACGACAATCTGTCTGCCCTTCCAGCCCCGCATCCCAACGCAATCCCAATGCGCGTCGTGCTCAGACGGCAGCTCGGGTACACCGTCGGCGTTCATCGGATACTCCAGCATGATCAAAGATCGCAGCCCACGTCGTGCTGTACCGCGCTGGGACAGCTAACCATGACAGTCGGTACGTCCCTGTTGGTGTGTGTGTACCCGTTCTGACAACCATTGGCAGCCCGTGACCTCGATCCCCCGCGCGCATTTGCAGAGCAAACGCCTCCGAGCACTGTTGCCTGGTACGTGACGGTCACGGAGGTCTCCCTCTCCCTCTCGCACTCCTTATCTCTGCTGACTCCTCTGCACGCCACCGTCTCAGCTCCCTCGCCCTGCCCATCACCCGGCCCGTGCCTCAGAAGCAGGCCACGCATCGCGTCACGGTCAGAATGTACCTTCAAAAAGGTCAGTGCGTGTGCTTCCGTTGTGACCACTAACCTCGTCGTGTCCGCACTTTTGGTAGTCAGCTCAAACGCGCGTCGCAGCCCATTTCGAATAGGTGAGTGAACACACGAGCCTGTTGGTACTGAGGTGGACGGGCAGACAGGCGGTTGAGTAGTGCGAGAGAGGACGGGCTAACCACGGGGAAAACAGGTAAGTGGGTGATTGTATATGCTGTTGTTTGTGCTGACGAAGGTGTTCATTCCGCCAGCATTACCTTCAGCACCAGCATTTGCTTGTCTATCCACCCGCCGCTTTCTTCTGTCCGTGCTTCCTCTCTTTCGCCCGCGCTTCCTTTCGCCCGCGGTCGCACGGCCTTTCGCACACCCGCTCGCACGGCCTTTCGCCCCGCCTGCTCGCCCGCCGCCCAACTGCTCGCGCTCCCTCGGCGACACGCATGGCGACCGGCAGCATGCACTGTGACGAAGACCACCACAGCCGTGCCCGCGTTCAACACGAGGATGGACTGACACCCAGCAATGCAACACGAGACGAACGTACCTATGCATACTCGCAGCATGACGACGACCCGCCCGCTCGCGCCATCTCGTCGTGCTCGCATGCGCGAGCCTTCGTAATGGTGACCATTGCCTGTGCGGCTGTGCCGGATGACTCGGATTCGCTCGTAAAACTACCGCAGATAGCGGAAACTCCGGCGCATACCGCACTTTCAGCAGTCAGGGTTGGTGATGACAACTGTCAGGCTGCACGAGAAGTACGTCCTACTCGAGGTGTAGCTTAAATAATGCAATATATCTTGTTACGAAGGGTCTACGAGTACATTGCATACACCTCAATGTTCTTGCGTCCTTTGCCTGAACGACTGATTCTGGCAATTACGTGGCTTCTCGTGCCATATGAGTATTTCTAGCTCGTAGCGAGAACTCAGTAGCATGTGCTCGTATTGCATTGTATTACGAACAGATTACGAATGTATGCACAGACGGTGTGTACAGTAGTGAATAATGCTGTGAATAATGTCAGAATAGTGGAGTATAATTTGGATGCTGCGTATTGTCGAGAATGTGAGCCAACACACCGTAATTCTCCGGAGAGGTTTTTCCTGATGTGTCTTGTCTGCAAACATTGAGATCCTCATACTTAGTTCCTCTCCCCAAGACACATTATGTAAGTGACTGGTAGAGATGTCTGTCTACTTACCTGCATGCGCTGTACTGATCCCTTCTGCAAACACAGCGGAGAAACCAGCTTGTACGGCTTCGCGACATTTGACTGCCCTATAAGCATGTAAATTAGTCAGGTTCAATGTAACTAAATATTCACGTAAGGCAACTGAACGTTGTAAGGCACGGCCTCTGATTGGTTTCCGGGAACATTCGTTACTAAGCTAATCTATACCAGTAACACACTGATATGTTAGGATCTCTTGCACATGGCAGTTTGTCCGCTGTGAAAGGCAGATACTTTCTAGAGTAGTCTTGTATAATCTATCGTGTCCATACAGTACATTGTGCATCTTATTCACGACGTAATATGC